ATCTATCTATCTATCTATCTATCTATCTATCTATCTATCTATCTATCCATCTGATAGATTTTTCTTCTTTAAACCAATGCAGCAGATTATAGTTGTTTTTATTGTATTTATAGTGTGGCTCTGAGTAGAGCTAACTGAGCCTAGCTTGAGGAGATAATCTGCACAGAAATGTTGTAAAGCCTTTCATTGTCCTGTTAAAGTGTTTGTCAAAGTGTAAGTCTGTGCTGTTATCACAGAACCAAGTCTGAGAGATTACTCACTGATGTCCACTGCAGGTCACCCTTCTTCAGAAGTTTCTTGATCGTCCTTAGCGCTTTATTCCTTTTTTTCAACACTCTCAGTGGATTAAAACCAAGCTGGAGTAGGCACAGAGAGAAGTCAGAAATAATGCAAAGAGAGCGTACAACGGTTAATAACTTTGATATGTACCATCTGCAGTTATTACATGAATTATATCCTCTGGTAACTTACAGCTTCCACTAACTTGTTCCTAAAGAAATCCATGTTGGCAAAGAAGATTGGCGACGGGATCCTGAAGATCATCACTCCCTCTGGCTCGTATATCTGCAGAAAGCCATGACTCACATATTACTGAAAAGCTGTAGACACGTGTAACTAATACAGATTAAGAAACCAAACTAGAAAAGTTCCTGCCTGAAGAACGTTTGAATTGTCCTGCCACTGGTGAACCTGGCGATCATTTTGAATCAGTAGGCCTCCAAAAGTTTGAGAGTTTTAGAAATTCATCTGTAGTCTTGAAGGCTTAATCAACATCTATTAAATAAGTCATGAAATATTTTGTTAAAAGATATTGCATAAAATAGTTGAAAACTAAATTTTAATCAATGAACTGGGGGATCTGCTAGCAGCCACGATATGTGTTGGGGATCACTATCAGCTACTACCAAACCAAATCTGATCCCAACATTTATAAGTATTACTGAGTTACAGCCATTTTTGTTTTTCTAAAGTAACTGATGCAGAAATTTTTGTTGGATTCACCCAAATAACTTATTCGTCTTAGAGTCGTAGAGATACCATCATTTCTGTTCAGTGTTTCGTGAGATGTTTCAAAGAGCGTCATGTTTTTAATCATCGTGTTGCACTGTTTGGGGTTGTCCATTTGCCTTCATAATTTGCGGGCAGCCATACCCATCTGTTCTCTGATTGGATCCTTAATTTGTGATTGACATGAGATTGACCAATCAGCTGAGAGGAGGAAAATCCAAGACAAACCTCGTACACGTAGTTTTTGTATTCTTATCTGTAAACGGAACTTCATAAAAAAGTTTTGTAACGTGATTTTTTTAAAAACAAATACAAATCTTGTTTACAAGCTTACAAACCTTTTTTACACATACAATATTTTTCTACAAGGTCACACATCTTTTTTACACCTGCAAAATATTTAAGGCTGGAATTTGAACCCATACAAGCGGATCGCGGCTGTCTCCACCTTGCAGCATTGTGGCGTTATTGGAAGAGTACTGTACATGCTTCGAGAAGCAGACGCTGCAACATCTAGTTGTTGCTTCTTCTTTGATAACATTAGTCTTGGTAGAAACAGTGTCTCACAACCGAAAACTAACCAGAAAAAAATGTACCGCTTTGCTCTGAGACTCCTTGTCCAGGCATTCATTCATCCATTTTCTTTACTTGCTTTCCCATTCCGCTGTTCGAGGGGACACAGCCACATCCAGACACACAAGACAACCATTCACCCTCGCACCTAGTGATAATTTAGAGCTATCAATTAATATTTGTTCTGTGAGAGGAAACCAGAGGAAGTTGGCAACTTTAGGCCTCAGCTCTAATTATTTCCAGGCCTGTGAATAGTTTGGTGCTTGTGCATTTATGGAAAGACGCATTTAATATACTGAACCTGACACATATCTGAAAAGTAGCAGCGTGTTAGCCAAATGGACAAATGTAAAAGAACAAAATAAATAAGAAAATGTAAACATATATGCAATATTTCAGACAAAACACACATTTAAGCAACTTACACTGATATAGTCCTTTCTATCTTTGTAAATATCAGTCCCCTTGATGTTGGCCATCACACTGCAGCGAGGGCTGAAGTGAAAAGAACAGTGGACAAGCTTAATAACAAAACTGTCCATCTGGATCATGCTCATATCAGAAACTGTTAGGGAAATAAATTATGCCAGCTGTTCTAAGCTTTCTTAAATCAGTTGTGTGAGCTTTGCAGGAATAAGATCATAAATACAAGAAACAAATTATTTCTGTTATTACAAAACAAAGATTTTGGATTTCTACTAGTTTATATTGTATTTAGTCTAATAATGTAACAAATTGTAATTGCATTAAAGCTGTATTTTTGGAAACTGCTGTAGTTAATAAGAAACATGTGAAGCACTGGGACCATGATAAGTTCTTTTTAGACAAAACGCAAACTAACCAACACTGTCAACACTAAATCTATGAGTAAGTAATGTTTAAAGGTAATACAAGACACAGTAAAGTGACTGTAGAAAATATTATAGCGCTAAGATGAAGTGATAGTTCAGAGACTAACAACTGAACCCTGAGGACGACACTGATCAGCTCCACACCGAGGCCCACAGCCAGCCCAAGATCCAGCCCCAGCAGGACCGATGCACCACAGGTCACTAACCACACCACCTAGACACAGCAAGAAACACAAGAGTCTTGTTATTGTCATGCCTTTAGGACAAAATAAATACAATACATATTGTCAGGTAGCCATAAATCACTAAATTAACCCAGTAAATCTCTTGAGTAGAGTTTTTGTGTTTTAAAAACCTACAAACCAACTACCAAAGAAAAATGAGTCTTGTGTAAAATGTAAATAAAAACAGAATGCAATAATCTGCATTATAATTAATTATATATATACTAATATATATAGTATATGTCATGGTCTCTGATAGTAAAGCCATTCAAAGTATCTTGTTCCATATCCTTGTGGATTTTGTTTGCTTTTCAGACCACGGATTTTGACTCTCTTCCTTTCCTAATGGCCACGACTTTGGATCTCGATTTGGCTCAGTCTCCTGCTCCCTGCGACCCTGTGTATGACCCCTGCTAATAATCACAGACCACGGATTTGGATTTGCTGCCCCCCACCCCTCCCACGGACCTCGAACAGCTCCGAAGTCTGCTCTGCTGCTGCAGCTCACTCTGCACGAGCGACGTCACTGGCACCAGCGCGACAATAGCACCTGCTACGTACAGATTGAGAAGATTGGACTCCCGCTGACTCCAGCAACCAAATTAATAAAGACCATTTTTCTTTTGTGCACTCCTGTGTCTGGCTTATAAGAACCCACAAGCCACTTGTGACATTTTTAGAGCATTTAGAGTTTAGAAACATTGTTTAGAATATTGCAAACGTGTGAGAAGGGTTTAAAATGTCTTTATATATATAGATAGATATAAATGCTAAAATAAATTACTACATACTTCTTGTACTACTATTCCTACTTGGTGGTTTTTCACTTATTGTGGGTCTTCAGGATACGGATCCCCCACGATAAACGAGCGACTACTGTATATATACAGTA